CCTGCCCCCCCGAAGGGTTCGCTCTCCTCCCCTGCCACCGTAGGCATCTGCAGTGGCCAGGGCTGCCAGCAGTGTCCCCAGCAAGGCACCCAGGAGCCCTGGCAGCCCGTGGACGTTGTGGACCCCACACGTGTCCTGGATCTTCAGCCTGGAGCTCAGGACGGGCTGGGGAGAACGTGGAGGAAGAGCCAGGATTGGGGATCCTTGGCCAAACTGGGTGTTGGCAGCTTTGGGAACCCCAAAAGGGCTTTGGGAACCCCAAAAGGGGGGGTGGGTGGGTTGTCCCGTGGTTGGGGACTGGTGTCCTCGGCTGTCCCAAGGAGACTCACCCTGAGGAACCTGAAGCCAAGTGGGGGGATCAGGCCGGCCAGAAACCCCGCAGTGAGAGCCCCAAAGGGGGTGACCAGCATCTCCCCAGCCATCCCCATCACTGCTGCACCAGCCAAGGTGGCATCCTGGAGCTGAACCTGCTGGAGGAGGACACGGTGGGGGGGGGGTTGTCTCCATCAGCACAGGGCTTGGGGGGGATCTGGGAATCCTCAGGGATCAAACTGCATCTTCAGGAACCTAAACAAGTCTAAGGAGGATCCCCGGGTGTGTTTTTTTTAGGACAGGCTGTGGGCAATGTGTGAGGTTTCTCCCAGGAGAAGACCTACCATCCTCAGTGTGCCCTCCTCCTGGAGGAGAGGACAGAGGACAAAGGTGGCCAAGGTGCTCGATGCCAACGAGAAGTAGGTGTTGGGCACTGCCCAGGGCTCAGCTGGGTCGTGGGCCCTGGTGGTTGAGGTGAAGCTGGGCCAGAAGATCCACAGGTAGATGGTTCCTGTGGGGAAGGGGAACAGGCAGGGTTTGATGGTGGGGTTGATCCCTGGTGGGGAAGAAGCTTCTGGCTGGTGCCTGGAGATGCAGGTGGGCACAGGTTGCAGAGTGGGAGGTTCAGGTTGGACAGGAGGAAAAGGTTTTTCCTGGAGAGGGTGGTGCAGCCCTAGGAGAGGTCCCCAGGCAGGTCTGGCCTTGATGGTTTGCAGGATTCTGCTGGTCAGAGCCATGGCCAAACTGTCCTGATACTGGTGATGGTCCTTCCACCACCACGTCTGTGACTGAGGTGTTGGTGGCTTCAAGCTCCGTACCAACCACAGCAAAGACATCTGGGTGGTGCTCCCTGTCCTGCTCCTCCTGCCTCTTGCCCACGTGGGGTTGGTGCAAGATCCTTGAAACCATCAGGCCAAAATAAGCCCCGAAGGTGTGGACAGTCAAGGAGCCCCCGTTGTCACTCACCTGGTGGGTACAGAAAAGCACCTTGCAGGGTGGGGGGGAGCTGGGATTGATCTCCAGAGGTTCCTCCTGGATGTGAGGAACCTAAACCCATGGTCACCCCCTTTCTGGTGGTGTGTCCCCCTGGTTGGTGACTCACCCCCATGAGACTGAGCAGGATGTACTCGTTGAGAGTGAAGAGGGTGACTCCCAGCAGGGTCAGCAGCAGCATCTGGATGGGGTTGACCCTTCCCAGAACAGCCCCGGTGGAGATGAGGGTGGCTGCAGTGCAGAAGTCAGCACTGACCATGCTGAGGAGGAGAGGGGAAGGTGTGGGGTGGGATCAGGGGGGTCACCATGGGAGCTGGGGACAGCAGGGTCTGGAGGGACAGGAGCTGAGCCTGCAACCCAGACCCTGCATCCCAGCACTCCAAAGCACAAATGCAGGTTGGGTGGAGAACAGATCAAAAACAGCCCTGAGGAGAAGGACTTGGGGGTGTTGGAGGAGGAGAAGCTCAGCATGAGTTGGGTCTGTGTTGGAGCAAGTCCAAAGGAGGCCCCGGAGATGCTGGGAGGGCTGGAGCAGCTCTGGAGCCAGGCTGGGAGAGTTGGGGTGTTGAGCCTGGAGAGGAGAAGGCTCCAGGGAGACCTTAGAGCAGCTTCCAGGGCCTGAAGGGGCTCCAGGAAAGCTGGGGAGGGACTTGGGCCAAGGGCAGGGAGGGATGGGATGAGGGGGAGGGATGAAAAGTGGGAGAGGGAGCTGGAGGTTGGAGCTGAGGAGGGAATTGTGGAGTGTGAGGGTGGGGAGAGCCTGGGCCAGGTTGGCCAGGGAAGCTGT